TAAAAGTTGTGTAAATGTTAGGACAAAACGTTATTAAAATATTGTTTTCGGAACGTTCATATAACGTTATTAACGTTCTTGTAACGTTGAGAGAAAACGTTCTTAGAACAACGTTCTTGGAACGTCTTTATCACGTTATTTGTATTTGATGAACGTTCTCATTACGTTGATAAAAAACGTTCTTAGAACAACGTTATCGGAACGTCTTTATCACGTTATTTGTGTTTGATAAACGTTTTCACAACGTTCCAGCAACATTATGCTAACCTTAGGATAACGTTCTAACAACATTATGCTAACGTTCCAGCAACGTTCTGCAAACATTAAGACATCGTTCCAGCAACGTTAAGCAAACTGGACATTTCCACGTTTTTAGAACATTTTAAATTAACGTTCCCACAACCAAAATGGAACGTTAGAAAAACGTTCTCAGAACCTAACTTTGTTAGCTGGGATGAACCATAAACAATTATTGCAACCGTGGAACACTCCGGTTTACAGGCGGCAGATTAAGGTCACAGTTACAATAACTTAGGACATTACAGACCTTTCTACTGGCTCTGCAAACACTAGGAGAAAGATATCCCAGGATCCCTGATCTCCCGTGTGAACCTGCAGGAAGGCTGTCTTGGCTAGACTTAAAGGAGTAGTTCACTTTTCAAAAAACGTTTGCTGATAATTTACTCACCCCCATGTCATCCAAGATGTCCATGTCTTTCTTTCTTCAGTCGAAAAGAAATTAAGGTTTTTGATGAAAACATTCCAGGATTTTCTCCATATAATGGACTTCAATGGGAACCAAACGGTTCAAGGTCCAAAAGACAGTTTCAGTGCAAACTACAAACTGTTCAAAGGGCTTTAAACGACACCAGACGATGAATAAGGGTCTTATCAAGCGAAACGATCACTCATTTAATAAATAAATAACAAAGTTTAAGTTTTATAAGCTCAAATGCTCACCTTGGTCTGTTCAGTGACATACGCTCGTGACTCTCCTGAATGAATGAAAAGTTTTTATTTCGAATTTCATGTAAACATGTAACGTGGCATATATCATTTATATATAACAAAAATACTTTTGGACCCAAAACTGACCCCTGGGGGACACCACAAGTAATGTCCAAGTACGACGATGAGTAATAACAAAAAACAATTTTAACTTGTACATGTCCGAAAAGGAGTAGGAAGAAACATAGGCTTATTCAATCCTACCCTATCTCCACTACTTTTTAATAATGAATTAACTAGTTAATTAACTAGTTAAACTAGTTGACGGAACATCTTGATCTATTTGTCTCTACACACCAAAAAACAAAAACAACATAAATATTTACATATGTTTATATACATCATAAATAATAAATTGTATAAAAATAAAAAAAAATTATAAAATATTAAAATAAGTAAACTGTCACCTAACTTATAACCTTCTTCCTCTCTGTACCTTGCAAATATCGTATTTTTACGGTGCTTTTTAAAGTGAGTCATACTTGGGCATTGTTTAAAGGGTTAGTTCACCCAAAAATGAAAATTAAGTCATTAATTACTCACCCCCATGCTGTACCAACCCCGTAAGACCTTCGTTCGTCTTCGGAACACAAATGAAGATATTTTTGATTGAATCTGAGAGCTGGATCAGTCCTCTAGACAGCCCAAGGGACTGGCTCTTGACGGTCCATAAAGTCATTAAAGAAAATGTTTAAATATTCCATGTGCCTACAGCGGCTCAATTATAAGTTTATCAAGCGACGAGACTACTTTTTGTGCGAAAAAACATAAATAACGGCTTTATTCCACTATTCCATTACTTCCTTATGGACGCATGCGCGAGAACTGAGACGAGGACGTTCTCATTCGTCTACTTCTTGTTACCGGCTGCTCACCGCTTAGGAGTTTTACCGCCCCCTATCGTATAAAATGATGTGCTGATATAGCTGGAAACGCAAAACTTTCTGTTTACAAGCAGAGGAAGATGCGCGCTGTACATACGCTTTTCAATTTGCGTATTTTCCGCACTATAAGGTGCACTTAAAAGCCTTTAATCTTCTCAAAAAACGACAGTGTTCCTTATAATCCGGAGCGCCTTATATATGGATCATCATTTTATACGGTAGGTGGCGGTAAAACTCTTAAGCGGTGAGCAGCCGGTAACAAGAAGTAGTCGAAGGAGAAGAACGTCCTCGTCTCAGTTCTCGCGCATGCGTCCATAAGGAAGTAATAGAATAGTCGAATAAAGCCGTTATTTATGTTTTTTTCACACAAAAAGTAGTCTCGTCGCTTGATAAACTTATAATTGAGCCGCTGTAGGCACATGGAATATTTAAACCTTTTCTTTAATGACTTTATGGGCCGTCAAGAGCCAGTCCCTTAGGAAGCTAATGGAAGAGATTCAATCAAAAATATCTTTGTTTGTGTTCCGAAGATGAACGAAGGTCTTACGGGGTTGGTACAGCATGGGGGTGAGTAATTAATGACTTCATTTTCATTTTTGGGTGAACTAACCCTTTAAGAACTGAACATAACCTGTTCCACAACTTCACTCCACATATCAAAACAGAAAAAAACTTTTTAATGTTATACGGTTACATAATTGTTTAAAGTTGCACTGACCCCTAATATTATATCTCCCTTCTCTATTAAAAAACAGTTGTTGAATATTGGCAGGGAGTAGGTTATTTTTTGCCTTATACATTATTTGTGCTGTTTGAACATAGACCAGATCAGTAAATTTCAGTAAATGTCTTGGATTTAAAAAATTAAACATTTGTGTGATCTCTATAACCAGCACCATGAATCATCCTTATGGCTCTTTTTTTGCAACATAAATATAGATAATAGTCTGCATCCATAAGTATTATCCCAAACCTCCACACAATAGTTTAGATATGGTAATATCAGCGCACAGTGAAGAATGTGGAGTGATTTGTAGTTCAGAACATTTCTGTTTCGCTTTGTTCAATATTGAAATACTTCTTGAAAGTTTATTGTGTACATGTTTTATGTGAGATTTCCAACATAATTTGTCATTTATTATCACCCCAAGAAACTTATTTTCATTAACCCGTTCTATGTCCACCCCATCTACCTGTATCTGAATTTGTATACTCTTTTTACAGTTACCAAATAACATGAAGTTGGTTTTATTAATGTTTAATGATAATTTATTTCTATCAAATTATCTTTTTAATTTATACATTGCTGAAGTAATAATCTCCACTGGTTGACTAGTTCCTGTAAATTCCCCCCAGAACAAAAAATATTTGTATCATCCGCAAATAGTACTAGTTTCACTGTCTTTGTAACTTTGCATATATCATTTATTTGTAACAAAAACAATTTTGGACCCAAAACTGACCCCTGGGGGACGCCACAAGTAATGTCCAAGTACGACGATGAGTAACTTCACAAATTGTTTCCTATCTCTTAAATAAGTTTTCACCCAGTGCAATACAACACCCCTGATCCCATACCGTTCCAATTTATGAATTAATATATTATGATTGATTGTGTCAAAAGCTTTTTTAACTGTGTACTGTTTGTGTTCTAAAGCATTTGTGATTTCCTCAATTGAATCAATTAATGCCAGTGATGTTGAACTATTTGATTGATTGTCAGAAAGTATTTCATGTTTATCTAAGAATTTGTCTAATCTATTGGAAAATAGTTTTTCTAGAATTTTGGAAAATTGTGGTAATAAAGAAATAGGCCTGTAATTTGGAAACTTGTCTATCCCCAGTTTTGTACAATGGAACAACTTTCGCCCTTTTCATTTCATTTGGGAATTTACCAGTGTGAAATGACAGATTAAAGATATATGTTATTGGTTTAGAAATCCCCTCAATTACCCTTTTCACAATTTTCATATCAACAATCAGTAGATGTTTTATATTTAAAATTGTTTGCAATGTCTATTATTTCTTTTTCATCCACATCTGTAAGAAACATTGAGTTGGGATTCCTATCTATTAAGTTCTCACCACAATCTACAAATAACAATGGATCAGGAATTTCTTCTGCCAAATTTGGTCCAACACTTATTAAAGCTATTAACCACATCACCCATATTGTCCTTTATAGTATTGTTATCAATAAAATAATGAGGATAACTTTGTTGCCCAGAACTATTTTTAATTATGCTGTTTAATATGTCCCATATTCCTTTAAAATTATTTTATTTTTATTCAACAATTTACTATAATATTCTTTTCTACATACGCAAGATGTTGTTTAACTTATATTTATATTTTGTATATTTGTTTTCAGCCTCTCTCGTTCTTTGTTTTATAAATTCTCTATATAATGTGTTTTTCTTTTTACAAGAAAAGAACTTCGAACTCGTTCATCAAAATGAACAAATCTTTTTCCGAGTCAATTCGTTCGTTGAATGAACCAAATGGCTCGGAAAAAGATTTGTTCAGTTTGATGAACAAGTTCGAACAGGAGAGTCACGAACGCTCATCACAGAACAGATCAAGGTGAGCATTTGAGCTTATAAAACTTAAACTTTGTTATTTATTTATTAAATGAGCGATCGTTCCGCTTGATAAGACCCTTATTCATCGTCTGGAGTCGTTTAAAGCCCTTTGCACAGTTTGCACTGAAACTGTCTTTTAGACCTTGAACCGTTTGGTTCCCATTGAAGTCCATTATATGGAGAAAATCCTGGAATGTTTTCATCAAAAATCTTAATTTCTTTTCGACTGAAGAAATAATGACATGGACATCTTGGATGACATGGGGGTGAGTAAATTATCAGCGAACTACTCCTTTCAGAGAATAGGGACAACCCTTTTAGACCATGCGCCGGGAACGCCATTTTTCCCGTCATTAAACTAGCAAAAGTGGATTCGGACACGACCTATTGTATACCATGAGCTTAGATCCTTAAAATAGGGCCCTTGATCTGACTGATTGACCTTGATCTAATTTCATAGTAAACGCAGAGAGAGAAACACACAAACTAATGCAGTTATAAAAAAATTGCTGTTCATAATTTAATAGCCTATTAGTTGCAAGCAGAATGTTTATGATTTGTTTTTTACATAAAGTTAACTGACTGTCAAAAGTTGTTTACTGCACTCCAGAGACAACGAGGGAATAATAAACACACTGTAGCGCAGCATCTCATGTGCTTTTCATGCATGATTGGCCTGGTAAGTGCCTGAGCAATGAACATGGTGAATTATGACAACAGCACTCGATGCTAGATAACATTTCACAGTCAGATTTGTGGAAGGAAGCAAAGCAGGCTCATTAACCTCCAGACACGGCTCCGTTTGACTTTATTAACAACCAAACACCACCAACCAGAGCAAACGTAACTACATATTTGTAATCTATTTGTCCTCGAAGGCTGTGACCATTCCTTTGATGGAGCATATCACCCCTGAGACGCTGCAGAAGCAGCCCAGGAGTAATATGAGTATGTCCACAGCTCTGCGGCTCATGTCCAGCTGAGTCCACTTGAGCTGCAGGTGGAACAGGGCGGGGAGCAGAAGCGTCATGGCCGCCCCGGTCACGCTGCCCGTCAGGCCCATGAGGAGAGAGAAATGAGGCACGTACAGCGCCATGAGGAGCGTGAGGAGGAGGAGAGAGCCACGCAGGAGCAGCGTCCACCGCTCGGCCCCGTCTGCGGATGAGTCCAGCTTCAGGACGCCGGTCTGCAGTATCTCTGCCGCGGCGTAGAACGGCAGAGGATACGAGAGGAGAGCCTTCGCCAACAGACACAGGTTCACCCCCGTACGCAAAGCTGTGGGCAGGTTATCTGTTATCACCTAAAATAATACAAAAATAGATATATTTAAGTCTACTTTAAAGGAGTAGTTCACTTTTGAAAACACTTTTGCTGATAATTTACTCGCCCCCATGTCATCCAAGATGTCCATGTCTTTCTTTCTTCAGTCGAAAAGAAATTAAGGTTTTTGATGAAAACATTCCAGGATTTTTTTTTACTTCATTGGGGACCAAACGGTTCAAGGTCCAAATGAGTTCAGTGCAACTTCAAAGGGCTTTAAACGATTCCAGACGATAAATAAGGGTCTTATCAAGCGAAACGATCGCTCATTTAATAAATAAATAACAAAGTTTACGTTTTATAAGCTCAAATGCTCGCCTTGCTCTGTTCTGTGATGCACGTTCGTGACTCTCCTGTTCGAACTCGTTCATCAAAATTAACAAATCTTTTTTCAAGTCATGACTCGAAGGGTCCTTGATAAGACCCTTATTCATCGTCTGGAGTCGTTTAAAGCCCTTTGAACAGTTTGCACTGAAACTCTCATTTGGACCTTGAACCGTTTGGTTTCCATTGAAGTCCATTATATGGAGAAAATCCTGGACTGTTTTCATCAAAAACCTCAATTTCTTTTCGACTGAAGAAAGAATGACATGGACGTCTTGGATGACATGGAGGTGAGTAAATTATCAGCAAAAGTTTTTTTAAAAGTGAACTACTCCTTTAAGTCATAAAAAATATTTTCAAGATTTGTTATCACAACATATTTTCTTTTGTCAAATCAACTTTATAATAATTTATTTAGTTGAGACAACTTATTATTTTGAGTTTCTGATGGTTAAATTAATCTCCTTCATTGTATTAACTCACTTTTTCCAGTTCAATCAACTTAAAATTTTAAGGCAACCCAGGTTACTTACTTTTTTAAGTTAAACCAACAATATTTTTTTTTACAGTGTAGTAATCACAACATTTTTTCTTTTGTCAAATCAACCTAAATAATTTATTTAGTTCAGATGAAATATAATTTTGAGCTTCTGATAGTATTTATGTATTATTTGACACATAAATCAGGGGAACACGGGACCCTGGGACCAACTTCAATGTGATATCGGTTTTGAACCTCAACATGTTGAGTAGATTATTTTAATCTATAATAGGGTGAACTATCCCTTGAATACAACGCAAACTTGCACTAAATGAGAAAGTTGTATAAAACATTAGATGAACTAAGCTGTTGTTAGCTACTATCCATTAATGTGATAAATCGTGTCCCACAGTACTCTACACACCAGGGTCCCTTAAATCCAGGAGCAGGATTGGACACGATGTTGGCCCAGGCTGGCTTCCCAGCTAACACATTTTTGTTTTTAGAACGTTTTCCAAACGTATCAGTTTTGGTTGTGGAAACATTAAAATGTCCATTAAAATGTATTATGTTCCTGAAACATTCTTTCAACTTAATTTTTACTAACAACTCTAGGAACATTCTAGGAACGTTCATTTGTCACATTCCAAGAACATAAAAATGTCCAGTTTCCTTAACGTTACTAGAATGTTATTTAAAGGTTAGTGTGAATCATCTTTCGAAAGAGTAATAGGAACACAAACTACAACTTTCTTCAGAAACAGCCTTAGATGAACTGAAGATAAAAAGACATGAACTCTCTCAAGATCTGATTAAACAACTCCACAAACAGCATTACCAGCTTCACTTATCACTAACCTGACTGAAGTTCTTATTGAGAATTAACAGAGGTTTAGATGTTGATGTTTTACTGAAAATGTTTTGTTTGAGGTCATCATTATGGTGATCAGTGTTTGCTTTAGCAGACATGTTACCTGGAATTGCTGATAAAACATAGGCTATACTTAATGAAAGTCAAGTGTCAAGAGCCCAACTAGAGCACACACTGATCTTCATAATGGTGACCTCAAACAAAACATTTTCAATAAGACATCAACATCTAAACCTCTGTTAATTCTCAATAAGAGCGTGTGACAGAAATAAAGTCAGTCAGGTTAGTGATAAGTGAAGCTGGTAATGCTGTTTGTGGAGTTGTTTAATCAGATCTTGAGAGAGTTCATGTCTTTTTATCTTCAGTTCATCTAAGACTGTTTCTGAAGAAAGTTGTAGTTCTTATTACTCTTTTCGAAAGATGATTGAAAGAATATTTCATGAACATCACACTAACCTTTAAATAACATTCAAGTAACATTAAGGAAACTGGACATTTTTATGTTCTTGGAAGGTGACAAATCAACGTTCCTAGAAATCGAAATTAAGTTGCAAAAGTGTTTGAGGAACACTATACCTTTAAAACACGTTCCTCTAACGTCAAGAAAACGAAGAAAACGTTCTCAGAACCAACACTGAATATTTGGAGAACGTTCTTATAACAAAACTCTGTTAGCTGGGATATTTTAGTTTTTCAGGAAGTCTGATTTTCACAATATATTACATGGCCAGTTGCACAATATTTAAAAAAAAATTAATAACAAAATACACTTCTGATCAATGATTCGACTTCATCTCATGTTAGTCTACCTTTTACACAATAAACATGTTAAACTATTAAAGGAGCCAGAGATAAACTAACAAAACAAACAGGAGTCATAAGACCAACTACAGGAAACACTGATCACCATAATGGTGACTTCAAATATTTGTTCCTCTTTCCTTTAGTGTGTCATCATTAATGATCAATCATCACTTAACTATCTAAGGCCTCGTTTACACTGCATGGTTCAAGTGACCCAAATCCGATTTTTTCCTCTCATGTGGCACAGATCGGATATGACCAGTGAACGTGTAAGCAGGAAAAAAACGCATGGATTCTGATTTTCCCAAGATCAGATTCAGGCCTCATTCAGATGTGGTAATAAATCGGATATGAATCGGATACGTGCATTTGTGTGTGCCATGTAAGCAGAAAAATCGGATATTTCCCGGTAATGCGAGGCGTACGTCATTAAAAAGTGCGTGATTATAGGCGCGAGCCGTGCGATGGAAGAAAGGATACACACAGTGGAGCAATGCGGAGGTTTCATGTCTTTTGAGTGTTTGGGGTGTAGAGTGTAAGAGTGCAGGTAAAAATGCAGGGTTGTTACAGAAATAAATCCGTTTTTGAAGACATTTCACGAGATATGAAGCATCGTTTTAAGTGCTCGTGGCTATGCCTCTCCTCTTTTTTTCTCCGCCGTACGAGACCAATGTTTTGATGACTTATTGAAATATTGTGGAAAGAAAACACTGGATAATTTTATTTGCATCTGCATCCATTGAATTTCGTGCTGTTTTGCTTAATTTTCAGAACGTCTGCATTTGGTAGTTTCAGCAGTGTATAGTGTGAATGCAAAAATCGGATATGGGTCACTTTTAAAAGATGATGTAAGCAGGTCATCAAAAAAATCGGATATAGTCAGAAAATCGGATTTGGGCATCAAGACCTGCAGTGTAAATGCAGCCTAATAAACCCCAAAAGTGCTTCAGTGTGGACACATATGTACACTGACCAGTGTTCATTAAAAACAGGGGACTTTGCTGTGTAACAACCAAATTTAAGCCATTTTTAGTCAAAAAGTGAGTGTTCATAAATGGCTGTTGAGATAGTGTTTTTATTTGGCTTGGACCCGGACACAGCATTGAATATGTCACGACTTGACAAGCGTGATTATGATTAGTTTCCTGCTGAAAAATCCATTAATATCCAACATGAACTTCATGTTATTCCATGCTGGTTTACGCTATTTAGAACTGGAATAGTGCTGGTCTTGCTGGTGGACCTGCTCTCCTCAAGCGAAACTGTAGCAGGTCCACCAGCAACCTGGTCCCAGCATGCAAAAAAATCCCCTATGCTGCTGGGTAATAAAGACTTTTTAGACCCAGCTACATTACATTGATGGTGATTATAAGTGCAACCTGCAACTACAGTGGTGTGGGATCAGTGCACCTCTTTGGTTTCCTCTCCCCATGTGAGGAAGGCCATCACGGAGAACGCTGTCTTCAGTACACAGGCCAGAGCGTGAGTCCAGTTCATCATGCTGTCGAAGTCTAACCTGTCCGTCATGCTCTCCTCCAACGTAGGCAGATAGATCTGTGATGTGTAGCTAAAGATAATCACCCCCACCGCCACCTGGAAGCCATCAAAGTCCACCGTCACAGCGCTCAGTCTCCTACTGGCCCACTGCGGCGACTGACGGAGGCAGTAGCCGATCACAATGAAGGTGATGAGGAACTGAGCCAGCGAGCAGAAGAGGCTGAGGCGCGACACCACTCTCAGGTCGTGGATCAGCATGCAGGGCACGAGGATGAGGAAGGTGATGGCGGAGCAGGTCGCCGGGGTCAGAGGCAGGAAAAACAGGCTGTGACACATCAGATTGCTACTGACCACCAAGTATAGGATGCAGGTCATGACCAGTTCCACTACCTGTGCGGCGTTCACCACCTTACCCCCGATGTAAGGGCAGATGTGTCTGCAGCAGGCTTTAGCGACGTCCTCGTAGGTGTGTCTGACGCGGACCGAGTGGCCGGTCTCGTCCTCTTCGTACAGACAGGACACCAGGATCTTTCCAGTGTAGCTACAGATGAGTGCGGCTAACACCAGCAGCAGCAGACCAACGTACCCGCTCTGCAGAAGAGCGTAGGGCAGTCCCAGCACAAACACACCCTGAGGAGGCAAAGGCACACATCAGGTCTTGGTCAAGTATTCAACTCCAACTAGAGACTTGCTGAATTCTCCTGGTTCTCAGACCCTAAAAAAATCTCTCATGTCTTCACTGGGATTTCAAAGAAAGATCGAGAAGTTTTAAAGGGTACATATCATGCTTTTAAATCATTCATTTTTACATATAAATCATACCGTTGTGGTCTATATAAGCATAACTGCAATGCTTGGGTCTATATTCCTCATTATTATAGCTTCACAAGCCCCTTTTCTGATGTGCGTCTGTGAGCGACCCGTTTCAAAGCGGCCCCTTTAAATAAAATGGAGTTGCGTCTTTCCCCGCCCGCTCTCCAGGTCCATGAGTTCACGGTCGGTTCAACTCCCCACGTTCGGCCATTATAGTAGTTTGATTAGAGATATACGATTATATACGATACCTTCAAAGAACATTTTTATTCACACGTTAATAAAAAGTCAACAACAGAAGACTTGTCCATCAAGCCTTACATATTCGAGCCAGAGCGAGCGAGTTGATAAAGACGACGACGAACCTGCAGACCAACCTCTTCATATGGATATATTGGTATGTGAGTTAACGTTAACTGTTTTGTGTTATTAGTGAAAGTCGACTATTTCTCTTGTTAAAACAAGCACACTGACAAGATAAATGACTACGGTCTAATCTTACCACTAAAAATCTGTATTGATAATATGAAAACACAGCAGCTAAATGACCATTGACGAAACTCAAAAACAATAATACTGCAGACGTGTAACGTTACTTCAAAACAAAAACAAAGAAAGACAAAGGTACTGCTAAACCATGACCACCATGTGTTTTAAGAAAGTAAAGTACTTTATCTTTATTAACGATATTTACAGCTTATCGAAATGCTCTGTTTGTCCTCTCCAAAGATAGAAGGAATTTACCCCTCATTCAGACGAAGTCAATCGGCAAACCCTTCTGTATAACGGTACTGGCGGAGGTTGTTGAAGTAGGAATCCTTGAAGTGCTTCAGGTCACTAACGTACATCCAACAACCGAACATTTTGACTTGCCCTCTCGTAACTTCTGTATCATTGAGCTTGCACTTCAAAATCGGAGCGAGAAATAATAATGGCGGATTGCTGAAAGTGTTGGACCAGTAGTCAATGTCCTTATTTGCCAGTCAGAACAGAAAAGCTGAACAGGTTGAAAAATATGACCAAAACAGAATATAAAGATATAAACTAAGCACCTGAAGAGAATAATTTCATCTTTTCTGTACTTATAAACACTCCTTATATACAACAAAATGCATTTAAGGGCTAAAAAAGTGGATTTTGCATGATATGTCCCCTTTAATTCTCCTGGTTGTCAGATCCTAAAAAAAATCCCTCATGTCTCCACTGGGATTTCAAAAAAGATTGAGAAGTTTTAAAGAAAGGGCTGGAAACTCCTTCTAGAGCATGTAGGATCAACAAGACTAATTAGTAGAATTTATTTGAGAATTATAGCTTTTTACAGTGGTGGGCAGAACGAGGCTTCGTGAAACACTGAAACATTTGAAGCAAATGTGCCGTATTTTGTCGAGGTTTCAAAACAATCCGACACCCGTCTCTACGGTGTCCCCAAGGGGTCAGAACGGTGTAAATGCAACAAAAACATGGGCTAAACAATAAAGCACCTTTTACCCATCTATTGCATTTTTTTTAATTTAAAGTAAAATCTTTCAAATGCAAATAATTAATCATCTAATAAGATCATCAAGAGTCTACGTGTTATTTTATCAATTGAAAGGGTTCCCAGACAGCAAACTGACATTGAATCAACGTGGAAACGACGTCTGTCATGACATTGAAACAACGTTGATTTTGCTCATCGAATTAACGTTGAACCAACGTCAGACGCGGCATTCTTCAAAGCTAAATGAAAATCGAAAATTGGTTTGCTTTCATAACGTTGAAACAGCGCGTTGATTTCAAGTTGATTTTCCATTAGTTTTGAAAGAATGACGCGTCTTACGTTGGTTTAACGTTAATTCGATGAGCAAAACAATGTCAGATCAACGTTGTTTCGATGTCATATTTCCACGTTGATTCAATGTCAGTTTGCTATCTGGGTTGGTTTTGTTTGCTCTATGAATGGCTCAGCTAACAGGCGAATAAGAGACTATTAACTACCATTATTCATTGTCTAAATGTCTACAAATGTATAAAACTGATCAGAGATCAGGTAAAACCCACAGACACTCGTTGATTGGTTCTCAGTGACTCCTCATGATTCATGATTGACAGAGATGATCGCCCCCAGTGGTGAACCATTGAAATTTCGAAGTGTTTCAAGAGTTCACACTTACATATAATAAGGGATTATCACGCATCCGGGTTTCATGGGCAGGATTTGTCAACTTTGTGCATGTCCACTTCCGACGCAGTTCAACAATGGCTGAGACGAAGGCTATATATGTCACTGCTCTGTTCCACTTTGTAAATCTAACCAACAACGCCAACCCTACATAAGTTGTCCGACTGAATTGAGTATAAGGAAGAACTGGATTAAAACTTTAAAATAAAACAAGGTAGCACGTTTGTTTGCAGCCGGCACTTTAGTGAATCAGACTAATTTACCAGGGATGCCGTATAAATAAAGTGTGGAGAAGGGGCGGTGAAGGGATGCTGCTAAACTATCAATGGAGTGAGGTGAGATTGCTGAATCTATATATATATACATACACACACCTCTTATCATTGATTGCTGAGTGCACTCCACTCGTGTTAATTAACTGAACGTGCTCCTCCCAAAATTTGTTCATAAAACATCATTTCGAAACAGTTATGACATGACGAAGCCTTGTTTCCTGAAATCACGTGACTCTGGCAGTTTGATACACACTCGGATCAAGCGATTCGTAAAGGTTTCGAAGCTTTATGAAACAGTGTTTTGAAATTTCCATCACTAGTTTTTTTTTATTAGTTGGGTGTTTGTATAGATCCTTAGTCGGAAATGCACCCAAAAGCTGTTTGCCAACCGCCAATAAAAACAATAGAAGAAGATTCAAACAGAAGCTTGTCTTCCAGAGTGCTGTGTCCCTCACTTGCCTTTTACTATTGCCCTTTAGTAATGTGTAGAGTTGAGACTGTGTAATATTCTGACTAAGTTGAAGCCTATTGTAGCCTAGAGGTCTACCATTAGTTCTCATTGTTAATTCTTCCTTCATATGTTCAAACAGCGCAGTCGACATCATATAACTGACGTCTTGGGACATCTTGTGACCATACGTCAACATCCGCCTTTTTAGGGTACCCTTAAACGTCGGTTAGATGACGTTAGCGGATCCTAACCCTACCCCAGACCTAAACCTACCCGTTACCTAACCGACGTTAAAGGTAAAGCGTCAGTTGTATGATGACGGCCCGAGATCGTCATGTAACCGACGTTTAAGGGTACCCTAAAAAGGTATGGTCAAAAGACATCCCAAGACGTCAGTTATATGACTTCTTGGGATGAGACTGTGTTAGCTCAAGCGCGCTGGAAGCTGTAGTTGTACCAGAAAGATGGGGGAGGCAAAATGTTGTAACAAAGCATAAATGTATTAACAGCTCAGCAAGTATTATGATATAAAGTTCTTTGCCGTAGGCCCCGTCCATAGCTCGCAATCGGAGGGTCCGGAATCTGCATATCCTGCCTGAAGACGAATGCGCGACACAGCCGACCCCCCGGGAGGTACGGGAAGGGACCATCCTGGTGGTGGTGAATGAAAGCGTCAGCATCTGCAAACTCAGAAATGTGTACCCAGATAGCAAACTGACATTGAATCAACGTGGAAATATGACATTGAAACAACGTTGATCTGACATTGTTTTGCTCATCGAATTAACGTTGAACCAACGTCAGACGCGTCATTCTTTCAAAACTAACGGAAAATCAACTTGAAATCAACGCGTTGTTTCAACGTTATGAAAGCAAACCAATTTTCGATTTTCATTTAGCTTTGAAGAATGCCGCGTCTGACGTTGGTTCAACGTTAATTCGATGAGCAAAATCGACGTTGTTTCAATGTCACGAGAGACGTCGTTTCCACGTTGATTCAATGTCAGTTTGCTGTCTGGGTAAGTACCGATCATTTATACCACGAGTATTAGAACACGATTGGTTAGATGAGAAGGTAATACAATCGAGTCTTCCTGGCAGAACTTACGCTAAAGCTTTCATGGAGGTGGAGGCCTCTTTTTGTAATATCTTTTCATCTAGAAATGTTAGTGTACATTTCTGTTGTTTATTTATTTACTTTTGGTAGTTTAAGTAGTTTTACTCCCTAAATAGTCAGAGGGTACTTTTGTTTCGACTGTTTGTTCCTTTACCCTAGACGAACTCTACACCTGGGACGTAACATTTCTCACAAGATCAGGTTGGATCAAACACCTAACATTCAGTTCGATCGTGTGCATCCTCCTGCAGTGTGTTTCCTCCAGACATGAAGGATTCCTCAAATGAGGCCAGCGACATTCACAGTTTTGTTTTAATGTTGCTCTTATGTGCTACTTCTCCTACGTCAGTCCATCCATCCACTTGTCCTCAGGGATGCTGGAGTCTATCCCAGATTCTCAGTCTGAAGGCAGGGAAACTCCTTGGAAGGATGGCCCGTCCATCACAGGACTAACACACACAGACTACTCCTAAATCATTCTGTGATGAACGACAGGCCAAGTTGATACTTGAACGAACCATAACGGAGAGCTCCATTAATGAAAGAGCAACCTCTGAGCACATCCAGGGTTGACGCTAGTGTCAAAGGCATATAGAGACGACTAGGAGAGATTTTACAAACACACTCACACAGCTGTGAGAAACACACAGTCACAGACGTACAGCAGATGGGAGTAATGAAATCACACCCTCTCACACACCCCTCCACTAATGAAGTCACAGTCATCTCTAAAGAGGCGCTAAGTGACAGATATTTTATCTTGACTGTAATTGTTTGTAAATTGCTTTGTGTTAGACACAATGAATAAAGATA